ATGGCTAAGAAGAGGAATCGTGAATTATTGAAATGGTTAAGTCAAGAAGATGAGTCCTACTTCGTTCCAAAAACAAGTCTTAGAGTCATACTCCAAGATTGTGCCTTGAGTGACATAATCTTAAGAAAGGTTTATAACACTTATCAAATGTAGAGTCTAATGTTTTCTACTTTTTTACATTTGAAATTGGTAAGTTGTGATGTTTTGGATAAAACAAACACCAACTAAGACCAATTGTGTGAAGTGTTTGTCTTGATAACACCAACTAGGACAGTGGGAGTCTTAAAGATCTTAAAGAATTTCAAGAACTAATCAAGAGTAAACCTATTGTCAATCACTAGCACACGACTTGAGGTTTGTAACCTATCATGTTGACGTATTCTTGTTTTGGTGCCCATTCCAGTTAAAGTTGACTATGCATGTGAGTTCTATGAGTTCTCGATTGTTTGCATAACAACTTGGAAGCAATGGTAGGCCCTTGTGCTGCCAAGTGGCAAGAAATTAAGACTGAACAAGTTCAGTCCATATGGTTTTGGATTTGTCACTAACCTTGTCTTGTGATTATGGTTATGATAAAATTCACATGGATAGGAACACATACACCACAAAAATCTAAGTGTCATAAGGTTTCTCTCTAATTCATGAAAATGATTGTGAGGAAACGCTTTCACTATTTAAGGAGATATCAATTGTGTAATTTGCATTCACAAATTCGATTATGATTACGGCATCCCTCTTTATAGTTCGAATTGTGAGAAATGGAAAAGGTCTAAACATTTGGGACTTATTGATGTAAGTTCTAAAATTGTTTGGACTCACATGTGGGCTATCTAAGGAAAGGTGTATGAGTTTGAGAAGCCTAGATAAAGTTTTATCAAAGCATCTCGTATCAGAAATCTAAAATTTGGTAAGGAAGTCAATAAATATTGATCTCTATAAGTCCAACTGATTTCTGAATACATGTCAAAGCTAGTGGGAGCATAAGTGTTATGGTATTAAGATAATAATTTTATGCTAGTGGGTGCATAATTATTATGGTAAGTGTTGCAAGTTAGCAATGTTAATTATAGAAAACAAAAGTTCAGTTCGCAAAGTTGTGGATTTGAAAACTTGTTTTGCTATAATTAAGGGAGAGGAACTTATACTTCATTTCAATTCTAAAAGCTCAGATTGAGATTTTAATCAAATTTAGTCAAAATGTTAATTGCGTTCTCAAATTCGATTATGATTACGACATCCCTCTTCATAGTTCGAATTGTGAGAACATGGCAAATAGAAATATTATAGCAAAAGAATGATAAAGTATCGTGTCTTTATGTAAGACATTATGAATCGTGTCCCATATGCTTCAGGTATAGGATCGATTGCATATGCTATAATATTCTCGTGTTCTAATTTTTCCATATGCCTAGGGCATTAAGAGCGAAAAAGGGACTAGAACAAGATATGACTAAAGTGGTTAAGCAATTGTTGAGGACAATCTGAGGTTTACCAAAGATTGGTTTCTCATGGACAGTTGGAAGTATTTTGAAAATTTTGGAAGGACCATATTGACATATTCTGAAAAAAGGTGACTCTTGTTCAGAAGTGATAGTCAAAATGGGAATATGGAAATGTTTCCGTAAGTGGAAGTTATTCTTTTAATCTGTGTAACATTAGAAAACTTAATGCAAGAAGGATGTTCAAAGGAATGTACTTTGAATGTGATACTTTGTTTCCATGGAATTGCTCTCCATTGGAATACTTTGTAATGTCTGTTGCCAAGTCTCTGTGACTTTTGTGCATAGTCATTACAAGAGGATCAATGCATATAAGTTTAGAATTTAACAGATTTCAGTAAATGGCAAGAATTTGGTATTCTTACATTTATCATAAGGATTTGGAATTGTGAAATGAGGATCATTGAAATGCTTTCAATTCATCTATTTCACAAAGAAAGGACCATAGGCAAACATAGTGTGCATGCTTGGAGCATGGGATAAATATTGTTTTAATTCAAGCATTAAGTTGATTATTCGAAACATTATACAATGAATAATGAGTAATCAATATGGTGATTAGATAAAAGGTGTTTTATTTACACTCAAAAGTTTTGGGGCCATATAGGATTAATATTATTCTTGTGTTTCACTTTGCATATTTTGACTTCCCGAATAACTAGGTTATTCAAACCATCCACAGTCGATAAATACTTTGGAAGTAGGTATTGAAGCTAGACTGTCATGAATGGGTATGTAGGATTGTCTAAGGAGTTAGACATAACACAAGTTTGCTGCATTATTCATGAGTACTCCTGGAACAAGATTCGAGTATTGGATTCAACCCACGCTCATTTGTATCACTTCATGGATTTTATCACAAGTGATCATGAGACGATAATATCTTATATTCTTGAAACATAGATATATGAGTTGAAGTTTACAAGTCGGTTGCACATTGATAATATGAAAACGCACCGGTAACTCGTTGTTATAAAACGTATTGTTGTGTGTGATTTGATGAGTAAATAGAGCAAGCATATGAGTCAAAGTTTATCTATTCCTTTTACCCTAAGGGGATAAAAGCGATATCTGTGGGCCCCTCGATGATTTAGTGATGAATCGTAAGTGCTTTGCCAAGCCTGGACTGATTTGATTTGTTCAATTAGTCAGTCGTCATAAATCGGAAATCGGGAAACAACACCTAAACAGATAGAATGATTATAATCCATGTCTCAGTTCATACGATATCTATAATGGAGGAATATATGATCCCTTATGTAATGGACGAGTCATTTGATTTGTTCAGAGTTCGACAGCGGCTTTTAAGAGCTACGATTGCTAGTCGGGTTTGGGAGTCGTACTTGTAATAATAGTTATTAGACTTATCCAAGTGGGAGACTATTGGATTTGGTGTCTAAGCCCATAACTATAATTGGTATGTACTTGACCCGAGAGTAGCATGGTCCATTTCGGGTTGCCTTCATCAGGACAATTTGCTAGGATGGATATTTGAGTAAGAAGTTATTTGTTATTTGTTAATATATTATAAGTATAATATATTAAGGAATCATATTATTTAATTAGTATTGATCAAAAATTATTTTGGAATTAATTTAGTGATCAAAAGAGACTAATTAAATATATGTGGATTGACTTGGTAAATCAATGATTCTTATAGTGTGGGCCAATTGTTGTTTAGGATGGGCTAAACCAATATGGTGGTCCATGAATAGTCCATGGAGGTTTAACCCATGGATCCTAAGGAATATGAAAGGTCATGGGCATTAGGGTTTGCATGGATGTAACCCTAGACCTAGCCACACTATAAAAGAGACCCATAGTCACCAAAATCGGCACCCATGTATTCCAAGTAGAGTGAGAGCCGATTTTGTGCTTCATAACTTCACACTCAATATTCTCCAATTGTTCATGATGTTTGTAACTTGTTTGAGGTGCAACGCTTGAGGCACTAAGCTCTTAAAAGGCCAATGTCTACAAGCTACAACAAAGAGGTAATCTTCTAACTCACTTTTATGATTTATATGTCAATTGTATGTTAGTTGTAGGCTTAAAGTTTTGGAAACAATATTGCATGTATAATTAGAGAAAACATAGATCCAAAACTTTTAGGGTTGTATGCGCACCATAGGATGTTGTAGTATACCAAAACCCAACAGGATCCAGCTCGGACACATGATCCTCTGATGAGAAAATTACTGATCCTTTTGCTCTATTGGAACTTCAAGAAAAAGTTGATAAAGACGATTCCAAAATCGAAAATGTCAATACCAAATTCGGAGCACTCGACTCAAAAATCGATTTGTTGATCAAATCTTTTTCTGAGATCAAGTCTGCTTCTCTATCAGAACTTCACAAAGAAAACAAACTGGATTGAAATATCTCACTTCGGTTGAAACATACGTTAGAAAAAGTTGAGCATAGATACAACGAAAACCTCAATCACCACATCTCCACTGCTTCTAGAATGCTCAAAATTCATGACGTTATGATCTCTGTTACCAATGAACTTATCAAGCAGACTCATGTCTGTCAGGAAAAACAAATTCAAATATTGGAGAAGGAAATCGGAGAGAATGATATAATCAAGGTGATTCGGTCCGCCCAACACTTTGTGGACATTTCAAATTATAAGTTCGACAAAGTCCTTCTGATCATGGAAGAAACCCTTTACACCCTCAAAGCTCAAGCTCCAACGGTTGATACATACGACAAGCTCACCAAACAAATCAACCTGATTTTCCATAAGGTCTTTAAAATTTTTGGTGATCTACAACATGGAGCATTGGTTGCATAAAAAACAGGGCCTTCCCATGCAAGAGGGGGAGAAATGAGAACTAGGTGGAAACCATGCTCGGAAAGAATCATTTGGACTGGATGAAGGAATCAATGGAGAAACTGATTGTGACAGAGATTTGGTGATAGGAATGCTTGCTCTACCATCCGAAAGAAATCAACCCTCATCTGAAAGAATCATTTCGAACAAAGAGAAGAAAAAGTGGTCCTTTATTTCTTGGCAATCCAATCTGACCGGCGCGTTTAAACGTAGCAGAGAATTGGCAAAGCTAAAAACAAAGCTCACTGCTGACACGTTCCGAGCTACTCAACAGAAATTCCTTTCAGTTCCCTCTCCTAAAATTACTGAAATTGATTAGGGATCCTCAATCCAAAAAGATGACGGTCTCCTAACACTGAAATTGGTCGTACCAATTTCTAAAGTATTTCCTGCAGCTCAATCATTCACTCAAATCACACATTAATCTCTTATTAAAGAAAAAGGCATGTAAATTTCATTTCATCCCATTAACCTGATGAACTCGTTGAAAAAGTCTAAGGGCTGCCCACATGATCAGATCAATCAATATATTGAAGAGACCCTCAGATTACAAACTCTGTAGTGTTCACCTAACACTTTCCATGGAATTTCTACACTTTGTCCTGATGGGATCTTGCATGAGTGTCACACGGTGCCTTGTATAAACTATGATCTTCCAATCATGAATGCTGATTAACTTGATTTGTCGAGATCGCCATATAAAAGATCCTACATCAAGTTCCCTCCGCTCCATCCGAATGACGATCCTAAAACCATCGTCCGAACAGAAAGAGAAAGGTTGAATACTTTCTATGCCACCAATAGACTTCTATAAAATCAAGTGTGGTCAAAATGAAGGATCACTCAAATCAATGGTTGGGGAATGAAAGTCCTAATCAAGTCCGTACTAGATTTTCACCTCCACGACTACTACATCTATTGGAACTCAAATAGAACGCTTACGATCTCAGATGTTAATTTGAAAACCATCAATCTAAACGATGTACTTATGGTTGCAACTCATCTTAAAGACAAACAAGACATTAAAATAGGAAATGGATCCTTCTATGCAACATTGCGTTCTCTAAAAGACTACATTGCTGAGTTCGAATGATCAGATGTCCAATTTGCTCCTATGTTTAAAACTGAAAAACTCCTTGCTCTAGTTGACACCTTGCTGGAAGAAATCGACTTGCTAGATGAAGGTCTAGTCTCTGAACCAGAACTTGCATACATCTACATGAATAAGAATTCAGAGAAGAAAGAATTCTTTAGAGCTTGGCAAAGGCACTTGGTTCATACAAGTGTGATTGAGAAGATCATTGCCAAGATACTCAAGTCTGAAGGTTCCAAGCAAGTGAAGGAGCAGTTGATCAAACAAATCGTGTGATGGTTCGAAGTAAGAAACTGGTTGCAAACTACCTATCTGTTTGTGTTTGGAGATAAAGTGTAAAAGCATTTGGATTTCTAAGGACACTTAGGGGAGACTTTTAGTTCATGAAAAGTGACCATTAGTCAGTTCAAGCTTTTGTCCATTTTTGAGAAAGTGTATGTTCCAAGATGAGAAGGTTTTCGAAATGAATATGGTTCAGAGATCATGATGGTTTTGAGATTAGTTAAAATTTTGTGGTTTATTGTTTGTTATCTAGTGTTGTACGATCGACAAAATCAACATCAACAGTTGTCTCAGGCTATTGAACTTCATTCCATACGTACTTTATTTGTCTTTGTCTTTTGTGAGTCATTGGCTATAAAAGGAGTTTCAACCTTGTAAACAGTAACAACTTCACTTCAATCTAATCAAGAATTACCGAGTCAATCATTTTCTCACGAACATTCTTCTTGTTCTTAATAATATTTATTGTTCATACTTTACTTTACTCTATTTGAGCACTTTGTTGAGTTATATTTTTCAAGGCTTGAGTGGTTTATTCATAATTGACTGGATCGTTTATTATTTGCAACCATTTATTTTAGATAACTCAAGGGTTAAGTTTTCAAACCTTTTCTCACAAGTGCGTCTTCGAAATAAGTTTCTATGCAGAAGACGACAAGGTGAAATTTTCCACCTGCACCTTGGCGGATGCAACTCTATCATAATTGAACAACAATATGAATGATGTGGGTATTAGCATCGCTAATTCCATCTCCTGGAGCAAACTTAAGCAACTCATGATTAAGGAATGTTGTCCCCATGAATAGATGTAGAAACTAGAGCAAGAACGGTGAAATTTTTCAATGCAGGAAGCTGATGTGGCTGCTTATACCAACCGTTTTAATGATGTCCCCAACATGTACTCTAGATTGGTAACCTCAAAATACCAAAAGATTAAGAGATACGTCTGGGGGTTGCCTCACCCTATACATGGACTGGTAACCGCCTCTAAACCAACATCTTTCGATAGTGCTAAATGGCTGGCTTTCATCCTAACTAATCAGGAAATACGTTGTGGCACTATGGTTCAGAAGGCTGATCTCCCAAAGACTGGGAGTAACAAGAGAAAGTTTGGGAGAGAATCCATGGGAAGGTCAAGGTAACCATTTGAGAAGAAACATGAAACGGTGAAGGCGCACAATAGAGGCTACCACCCAAAGATTGTATACAGGGAATAGTCATAAGTGTATCCAGTGCCACTATCATCACACAGGAGCTTGCTGGGTTTGCACTAATTATGGAAAAGATGGCCACCTTACCCAGAAATGTAGGTCCTCGACATCTACACCAGTACCAGTTTTGAATCAAGGGAATGCAACAGCCACCAGAAATAGAGCTTGTTATGAGTGTGGAGAAACTGGGCACTTTAAGAAGAAATGAAAAACGTTGAGAGATCATGGTGGAAATGCCAGGGGGAGAATTTGTTAGAGTTTTGGACACCATCCAGGATTGAAATGTGGTGACTGGTATGTTCCTAATTAACAACCTATATGTAAATATACTTTTTGATTCTGGTGCCGATAAAAGCTTTATCACTCCTAAGTTTGGGTAACTATTGAACCATCCCTCTAGTAAACTTAGAGAAGATTATATATTATAAATGCATAATAGCCAAATCGGTAGTACCCAAGAAGTATTAAAGAATTTTACATTAACGTTAAATAATCATACCTTTCATGTCAACCTTATGCCTATGATCATCAGAAACTTCAAGCTGATAATAGGCGTGTATTGGTTATCCCTGATCGCGCTAAGATTCTATGTTTCAAAAAAGCAGTGCCTTTTCCATTAACAAATGGCGAATCATTAGTTGTGACAAACCTAGTAAGAACCTTAGGATTATTTTCTGTATGAAGGACATGAAATACCTGCAGAAGAAATGTTACCTCTTTCTTGCCCACGTAACTGATAAGAGAGAAAAATTGAAAGAGATCAAGGATGTACCTCAGGTTTGTGACTACCCTAATGTATTCCCTGAGGATCTACCCACGCTACCACCGTTACGTCAAGTCGAATTTTGAATTCATCTAGTTCCATAAACGACATTAGTAACAAAGTCTCATTATAGATTGGCACAATCTGAGATGAAAGAGCACTCTAGCCAGCTGCATGAACTTCTTAACAAAGGATTTATCAGACCAAGCTTCCCGCCTTGGGGAGTGTCGGTGCTATTTGTCAAGAAGAAGGATGGATCTTTTCAAATACGTATTGACCACCGAGAGTTGTGTAAACTGGCCATCAAGAATCGTTAATCACTTCGCATAATCGATGACCTTTTTGATCAACTTCAAGGATCTAGTTATTTCTCGAATATCGATTTAAGATTTTGGTATCTTGGAACTGTTAATGAAAGAAACGTTGTACGAAAAATTCTCTAAATGTGAATTTTGGATTAGAGAATTATACTTTCTAGGGCACATGGTCAGTAGTAAAGGAATCCATGTCCATCCCTCCAAAATGGAGGAAATAAAGTACTGGGAAACACCTACGACACCAACCAAAGTGCGTCAATTCCTAGGTCTCTCATGCTATTATAGGAGATTCATAGAAAGTTTCTCTAGAATAGCCAAACCTCTCACAACATTAACACAGAAAGAGACGAATTTTTTTGTGGAAACAAACAAGAGGATGATTTCCAAAGCTAAGGGAAATGTTGTGTAGCGAACCAATATTATCACTTCCAGAAGGCATTGATGACTTCGTTGTATACTACGATGCTTCGTATCAGGGACTAGATTTACGAGATGTAGTTTTTTACCTTGAAAAACTGACGTCGTTATCTTTACGGGACAAAATGCACTATCTATACAGACCACAATAGTCTTCAGCATATCTTCGATAAAAAAGTAGTCAATATGAGGCAACACAGATGGTCAAAGTTGTTGAACGAATACGAATGTGAGATCCGCTATCATCCTAGCAAATGTAACATTGTGGTTGATGCCTTCAGCCATAAAGAACGTTACAAATCCATTTGAAATCCATCAGAAATCCATCACAAAGTCAGATAAGTGTCAATTTGGTGTAATTTCGTTAGTAAAACCCTTTAGTGACAGATTTTATGAGGGAAACTACCGTCAGAAATGAGGTTTTTTCTAATCGTATAACTTCTAAATTTTTTGTGCAATCCCGTATTTTTATTTCTAAATCCCCCATAATGACTTAATGCCTCATGTCAACGTAATTAGCGCTCACAACATTCATTTCACCAATGTGGATTGATGAACAACATAATGCAACATAACATATTAACGACTTTATAGAGTCGTTTGATTTAATGCTAATACTCCATGGAAAAATAATGATAAAAACAAACAAATTTGACTTTTCGATCCAGGCTCCAGCTAGGCTCTTTATATATATTTCCTGTAATTTCCACAAGTGATTGAAAAATAACCAAAAACAACATTTGTATCGATGAGACGCTCATATAGGACCAAGGGACATATACATTAACATTTGACAAAATTGTTCTTAAATTCATGTCAAGATAGAGTCCTTTAGAAAAAGTTCAGAAATAGTCTCAGTTATTATTTTTTATTTTCCAACTCGGACCTGTCGCAAGTTCACAACCGATAAAAATATCATATTTTTCAATTTTGGCCAGTTATTAAGTTTTTTCTCAAATTTGGTGCAAATCCTCTTTATAATTTTTTTCCAATTTTACTTTTATATTCAAAAACTTGTTTGGTTTTGATATATAGTTTTTTCAACTTCTTTATACCTTCTTTTTACAACTATGTTGTTACGAATTCGATTTTACAATGTTAGCTTATATGTTCTTAGCCAACATGTTTACGGGTCCTGTAGGCTTTAGCCCATTAGGGTTTTGTCTTAGCTAGTAGTTATTCTCACCATTCTTCTTTGTAGCCTTTATGCTTTTCATTGAGAACCTTGTAATTTCTCTCTTTCAATAACCAAATGGCAATATTGTCACGGTTTTAGAGCGGAGGTTTGATACGTTGTTAGAAGATTTTGTAGCTGTTTAGTTTCCAATCTGTTTGATGCTCCTTCACAACTGATGTTCGTTTGCTTGTTGGTATTTGTTTGCTAATTGTTGTTAGTTTGTTGTTGTTGTTCGATTGGTTGCTTCTACTGGTTTGTCTTTCTTCTCATTCTCTGATTGTTTATCTATTGTTGTGGTTATTTGTCCATTGTCAACATGAATGGAAAGGATAATTCCCTTCAGTCAATCAATACTCGACTAGATGGAAATAATAATACATATTGGAGTTATGTTATAAAGAACTTCCTTCGTGGGAAGAATATGTGGGGCTAAGTCACTAGCACTAAAGGCAAACCTTCATTGCCCCAACCTGAGAATTTCGATTCGTTGGTTGATGCTTAGGAGACTGATAACTCCACTGTCATTACTTGGATTAACAATTCTGTTACATAGTCTATTGGTATGCAGTTGGCTAAATATGACGCATCAAAGGAAGTTTATAATCACTTGGAGATACTGTATACTCAGTCCAATTTTGCTAAACAATATCACTTAGAATATGATATTCGTGCCCTTCAACAAAATGAACTGAGTATACAAGATTTCTATGTTGTTATGTCTGATTTGTGGGATCAGTTGGCTCTTACTGAATCTAAAGAGTTAAAAGATTTTGAGCCTTATATTGCTAGGAGGGAAGAACAACGTTTTCTCCAATTTTGATGGCGTTGCATTGTGATTTTGAAGGCCTATGTGGAACGATTCTTTATCGCTCCCCTCTTCCCTCATTGTATTTTATTACTCATGAGCTGATTGTTGAAGATACTCATATCAAGTGTCACGCGGATAAAGGTTTTAAAGCAACCTCCATTCCTACTTTTACTATTGTTGTGCTTGTTGTTTCGTCTAATCAGTCTCGACAAGATCCAAGGGTTACTTATGATTAGTGTGCATTCTGCAAACAGAAAAATCATTGGAAACCTCAGTGTCCAATGTTAGTAAACAAGGGTAA